TTAAACCATTGCAACAGGATGCTGAAATACAGAATTACAATGTAGTACACATGTTTGAAATCATCATATATCACATGCCAGAACATTTTTGTCAGAAGTTCCCATGTTCTTTGAAAGCTTATTTCTAATTTGATTGGCTGAGGTACTGACTATTGTGACTCACAGCACCATGATGTTGCTGAGGATGATATATTTTACTGTGAGGTCATCTGAGAGGTTTCTGCAAATCCATCACATGGTCAGACAGGAGGAACACATGCTATTTATATTATTTGCTCTACGTACACTTAGAATCATGACATAGTCAACAGTCCAATAGCACGTACACATCACAGTTCCCTCCAGTATCACCCTAAGTACCCACTACTGTATTGTCAGTCAAAATTCCATATGAGAGTTACACATTGAAATGAGGGTTCACGTATGATCCCCATGTGAAAAGAGAGGGAAAAGATTCCAGCATAAATTTCTTGAAGTTAACGGTTCTAAGTAAAAAACTTTGTATAATATAAATAAATTTAAACAGATAGAGTCATTATTGGACAAAGAAGGAACCAAATCAAAATGGTGAGTGCCCACTGAAGACAGATGGGATAAATCATTGCTAGGATTGTATGCATAACAACAGGAGCCATTTCTGCTATCTACTGTGATCTGGGTGGATTTCATTTGTGGTCCCTTGGGCTGTTGGCTTGTCATTTGCACTGCAGGTCCATTCATGTACAAAAATACTAGATACGAGGAGCACGTGGCTCTTTCACTGGACTGTCTTGAGTGATTTTCTGCAAGTTCAGTTATCATTCATGACATTTTATTTAACAATTGAATAATAGTTTTTGGTGTGTTATCACGCTGGTTATGTGCTGGAAGAATCTTCATCTTATTATATTTTGTTTAGGATTTTTCTGTACTGCTTGTAAGTAGTGTTGGATCAAGTGTATTGTATGTGGCAAGAATTAATCTCCTTCATGGAGGAAAGCCCTACTTTGGAAGTTAATAGTTGCTCACTTAGTCATTCCTTACCTTTTACCGAAACTGGATGTACATTACTATTGTCACAAGAGGCTAATTCATGTGCTTCAGGGCTACATTTTTCTTTCACATGTACAGTGATTAAAAAGAAATATAAAACAAACAAAGCAACAAGACACTTATGGTAAAAAACTAATTAAGCACTATGCCGTGAAGGTGTATGGGGGAGTGGTTGTATAGATCCACATTTTCTTGACCTCAGCACTAGCTGGAGGTGAGTGGTCAGCTTCACACCCCGCCTGCTTTACCACCGAGGAAAGAGCCCCCAGTACCCATTGGATGGGAGGTTGGGTGGACCCCAAAGCCATTGTGGACGATGTGGAGAAGAGAAAATTCTTGAACCTACCAGAACTTGAACTCCTATCTCTTGGTCGTCCAGCCCATAGCCCATCGCTATACTGGCTGCACTATCCTGTCTCCTAATAAGACACTTATGGTCCAAAAATTTTGTGTGATAGGGCGCTGACCCATACTTTTACCAGTGTGGCTTTTTGAGGCATAAACCTGTATATAAATATATAGGTGAGTCAAACGAAAACCGTAAAACTGAGATAAAAATTTGAAATATCATGCCATTGTCCTATAAGTTGGCAGACATGTTACCAATGCTATAAAGAGTATCCTGTAGGTGGCAGTGTAATGCAGACAAACAGAATGCCATCACAGTGCCGGTTTGAAGATGGCTGCTCCACTACGTATGTCCACAAAAGAAGAACAACAATCTGTAGTTCATTTTTTGATCAGTGAAGGTGTGAAACCGATTGAAGTTCATCGATAGGATGAAGGTTCAGTATGGTGATGCCTGCTTGTCACAGCAGCAAGTGTACGAGTGGAGTAGGAAATTCAGAAATGGTGTGATGTCTGTGGCAGACACTCCTCGCCCGGGTCAGGCACACAAAGTTGTGACCCCTGAGTCTACAGCAGCAGTTGAAGTACTAGTGATGGAGAGTCGCCGAGTTTTGGTAGATGAAATAGCCGAAATTCTTAACATGAGTCACAGATCAGCACACCACGTCATTCATGATGTGCTCCAGTTTCACAAAGTGTCTGCAAGGTGGGTGCGACAGCAGCTGACTCCAGAATTGAAACAACAACGTGTTGACGCCTGTGAAGAACTTCTGTGTCGCCTTAAAGCAGAAGGTGATGGCTTCCTTTCGAGAATTGTTATTGGCGATGAAACTTGAGTGCACTACTACCAACCANTGGTAAATAAACAAGTGTTGCAATATTGACGGGCGATAAATACATGGATGTTAAGTTAAACCATTGCAACAGGATGCTGAAATACAGAATTACAATGTAGTACACATGTTTGAAATCATCATATATCACATGCCTGAACATTTTTGTCAGAAGTTCCCATGTTCTTTGAAAGCTTATTTCTAATTTGATTGGCTGAAGTACTGACTATTGTGACTCACAGCACCATGATGTTGCTGAGGATGATATATTTTACTGTGAGGTCATCTGAGAGGTTTCTGCAAATCCATCACATGGTCAGACAGGAGGAACACATGCTATTTATATTATTTGCTCTACGTACACTTAGAATCATGACATAGTCAACAGTCCAATAGCACGTACACATCACAGTTCCCTCCAGTATCACCCTAAGTACCCACTACTGTATTGTCAGTCAAAATTCCATATGAGAGTTACACATTGAAATGAGGGTTCACGTATGATCCCCATGTGAAAAGAGAGGGAAAAGATTCCAGCATAAATTTCTTGAAGTTAACGGTTCTAAGTAAAAAAACGTTGTATAATATAAATAAATTTAAACAGATAGAGTCATTATTGGACAAAGAAGGAACCAAATCAAAATGTTGAGTGCCCACTGAAGACAGATGGGATAAATCATTGCTAGGATTGTATGCATAACAACAGGAGCCATTTCTGCTATCTACTGTGATCTGGGTGGATTTCATTTGTGGTCCCTTGGGCTGTTGGCTTGTCATTTGCACTGCAGGTCCATTCATGTACAAAAATACTAGATACGAGGAGCACGTGGCTCTTTCACTGGACTGTCTTGAGTGATTTTCTGCAAGTTCAGTTATCATTCATGACATTTTACTTAACAATTGAATAATAGTTTTTGGTGTGTTATCACGCTGGTTATGTGCTGGAAGAATCTTCATCTTATTATATTTTGTTTAGGATTTTTCTATACTGCTTGTAAGTAGTGTTGGATCAAGTGTTTTGTATGTGGCAAGAATTAATCTCCTTCATGGAGGAGAGCCCTAATTTGGAAGCTAACAGTTGCTCACTTAGTCATTCCTTACCTTTTACCGAAACTGGATGTACATTACTATTGTCACAAGAGGCTAATTCATGTGCTTCAGGGCTACATTTTTCTTTCACATGTACAGTGATTAAAAAGAAATATAAAACAAACAAAGCAACAAGACACTTATGGTAAAAAACTAATTAAGCACTATGCCGTGAAGGTGTATGGAGGAGTGGTTGTATAGATCCACATTTTCTTGACCTCAGCACTAGCTGGAGGTGAGTGGTCAGCTTCACACCCCGCCTGCTTTACCACCGAGGAAAGAGCCCCCAGTACCCATTGGATGGGAGGTTGGGTGGACCCCAAAGCCATTGTGGACGATGTGGAGAAGAGAAAATTCTTGAACCTACCAGAACTTGAACTCCTATCTCTTGGTCGTCCAGCCCATAGCCCATCGCTATACTGGCTGCACTATCCTGTCTCCTAATAAGACACTTATGGTCCAAAAATTTTGTGTGATAGGGCGCTGACCCATACTTTTACCAGTGTGGCTTTTTGAGGCATAAACCTGTATATAAATATATAGGTGAGTCAAACGAAAACCGTAAAACTGAGATAAAAATTTGAAATATCATGCCATTGTCCTATAAGTTGGCAGACATGTTACCAATGCTATAAAGAGTATCCTGTAGGTGGCAGTGTAATGCAGACAAACAGAATGCCATCACAGTGCCGGTTTGAAGATGGCTGCTCCACTACGTATGTCCACAAAAGAAGAACAACAATCTGTAGTTCATTTTTTGATCAGTGAAGGTGTGAAACCGATTGAAGTTCATCGATAGGATGAAGGTTCAGTATGGTGATGCCTGCTTGTCACAGCAGCAAGTGTACGAGTGGAGTAGGAAATTCAGAAATGGTGTGATGTCTGTGGCAGACACTCCTCGCCCGGGTCAGGCACACAAAGTTGTGACCCCTGAGTCTACAGCAGCAGTTGAAGTACTAGTGATGGAGAGTCGCCGAGTTTTGGTAGATGAAATAGCCGAAATTCTTAACATGAGTCACAGATCAGCACACCACGTCATTCATGATGTGCTCCAGTTTCACAAAGTGTCTGCAAGGTGGGTGCGACAGCAGCTGACTCCAGAATTGAAACAACAACGTGTTGACGCCTGTGAAGAACTTCTGTGTCGCCTTAAAGCAGAAGGTGATGGCTTCCTTTCGAGAATTGTTATTGGCGATGAAACTTGAGTGCACTACTACCAACCAGAAACAAAGAGAACGAGCAAGGAATGGCGTCATTCCTCATTACCAAAACCCAAGAAGTTCTCGACGCAGCCATCTGCAGAGAAGATTATGCTGACTCTTATGGGACAAACGAGGCGTACTCTTGGAACACTACACGCCTCGGGAGAACACTGTCACCAGTGCCTCATATTCAGATCTCTTGAAGAATCATCTTCGACCTGCAGTCAGATCAAAGCAACGTGGACTTTTTGTCCTTTTGCAACATGACAATGCTCGACCCCATACTGCCTGTGCAACAGTTGCAACAATCCAAGACTTGCACTTTGAGTGTCTTCCAAATCTGCCATAATCACCAGACCTAGCCCCAAGCGATTACCATGTGTTTGGACCACTCAAAGAGGCAATGGGGGGAAAGAAATTCCGTTCTGATGGAAAGGTACAGCAGGCGGTGCATGAATGGTTGCACAGACAACCACAAGAATTTTTTTCTAGAGGAATCCATACACTTTGTAAATGCTGGACAGCCTGTATTGAACGAAATGGAGACTATGTAAAAAAATGATGTAGTTATGTATCGCTTTCATTCAGTAAATTAAATTTTAAAAAGTTTTACGGTTTTCGTTTGACTCACCCTTGTATAAAACCACCCACCCTACATACATTGGTGCTAAAGCTGGAGGAGGCACGTAACTTCAAAATGAGGCTTCATTGCCCACACCCACATGATGTAACCATCTGATAACTGAATTAACATAAATTGTTCTGCTGTAGGTATTCAACATTAAGGTGACAGTTGGATGTTGTCTCATGGTAGTTATCTAACAAAATAGTGTTATTATAACAGTAAAAAAACCATGATGTATTCAACCCTTGAGACTCCTTGGGTCTAACATGTGACACCATGTAGTCTGTTAGAAGTTTATTGATGTTTTGGAGGAAGGTACTCAGTCGCTGCTTGCTTCTTGCTAGGTTGTTATGTGTGGTCATATTATGTGATTGTACCAATCATTACCATAAACATTGTGATATGAATATGTCATGTTTGAAAGCATTGTCAGTGTAATTAAGAAGGTAGGTAGCTTCTTCAGGCAGTTATGTATAAAGACTTGACAGATGTGGGATACATTTTGAAGCATTGAAGATCCTGAAAATGTATTTATTTTGTAGCTTGGTATTTCTCCAGTGTTATTTCTGGTAAAAAAAAATGTTGTTGACTGCTTCTTCATTCTTGAATATAGCCTAGACCATGTCAGCTTGATCTCTGCTCCAAGTTTGAAAGCCAGCACTGCCCACACTTGGTCTCTCTTTTCCTAAGGTACCAAGGTTCAGTTGCTGTTGTTGTTTATTTTTGTTAATAACCAGTTGCTGAGCACATCTTTGTAGGAACTCCCTGTTGATTCAAGAGCCAGTGTGGTGTCAGTGCCCGTGATATGACGTCACAGTATCCTTGACAGGACGTTAAGTATACAACAGGGTGCCTGCTTGGCTTTGTGGGAACATCCCACATTATCACGCATTTCTGCAATGCACACTCTTCACATTACTTTTCACCATCACGCGCGCTAACCAGTCAAATTGCTCCAAACGTTTGCATTTATACTGCGCTTGCTGCTAGCCCGCATCTACGTCATTACGCTCGCTAGCCAATCAATTCTTCCTCCTCAATTTCGAGTTTCGCTCCGCCCGCTGAGCAGTGTATAAAAATGGACAGCTCCAACGGCGAGTTACCAGTTGACTTCAGTCTACAATCAAGCCACAGCAAGTAACACCAGCCAGCAGGCTTCGTCACCAGCGCTCGGTCTTCGGAGGGCAGGCTGCGCCAGGCACGACTGCCTCGGCCCTCCAGCGCTCTCACACCCGACTCACTGGGGCACTGCGCCTGGACTCGCCGGTGGTCGTGTTACGGTCCGACTCACTGGGCATCTGGCGTAGCCACTGCCTCATGGCTCCTGCGACCGCGCTCAACGACTAGCCTTTCACCAACAGCCGCCGCGCTGTGATCAAGCAACCTCCAACTCACACTGCCGCACGACAACCAAGCAACCTCCAGCCACGGCCGCACTGCGGCCAGGCCAATCACCACAACTAGCCTTTCTCCTTACCGGCGCGCACCGCGTTACCTCTCCGGTCAAGCATCTCAGCAACCACGGTCCTTTTCAGGACCAACAAACTGTTCCGAAGAAGTGGGTTATCATCGGAGTAATGACAAGACTACATTAAGAGCCCCACAGCTTATTCTTTTACCCTGAAGTCTGTTCCTCAGAAATGTCAGTAAACTTGTACCAGATTGCATGGTGTCACATCCCAGAAGACAGTGCTTTTCATTGTCACTGCAATCAGACATANATATATATATATATACACATACATACATACATACATACATACATGACTCACACAGCACAGTAAATTTAAATTGAAATATTAGACAGCTTATAATCTATGCAATTTTGGCATTACTTCATATGAGTCTACTAATTTATGGTCCACATTATATTATAATTGAGTTGGGCCAACTGTCTTTTGCATATCAGAGCAATTACTTACTTAAGCATCTTCATTTATAGAGTTTGTAATTAGTGGAAATCGCCTTCAAATGATTTCTGAAGGATTCCAGTTTGTTTCTTGTATGTTAACTTTGTGCTATAGATTTCTATCCTTAAGTAACATCTTAGTTAATTTCAAATTCAGGGATATCTTGATTTGTTTACTCAAGGTGGCACACTTCTCTATAAGTTGAAAGATCCAACCGTAGCCCAGAAGGTGAAAGGTGCAGACAATGAAGAGAAAATTGTGTACAGTATCATTGAAGAGGCTGGCAACAAAGGGATTTGGATTCGAGACATCAGATTCAAGTCCAACCTGATTCCTACACAGCTCAATAAATTATTAAAAATTTTGGAAAACAAGAAGTTAATTAAAGCTGTCAAGTCTGTATCTGTAAGTATTATTTGTAATTATCCGGAAACAACATCTGGGTTTTCCTTCACTTCTTTGAACTTGTGGATAATTAAAATGTGAAATCTACTTATGCTACCTGCCTGCGTATGAACAAGGAAGAATGCAGACATGTTACAGCTTATTGTGACCATTATAATGAAGTGTTTGGCATCTGAGAAGGAAAGTCAGATTGTCTGATCTACACACCCCACACTAATGTAACGAGTACGAAGGTTTTCCACAGGTAACATGACAAATGTCCACTCTAGAATGTATTGCACTTATCCCATTCCTTGACCCATGATTACAATACATGTCCAGACCATCCTTTGTGAGTATTTTTAATTTTATTTCCATATTTGTTGCTGAAATCTGGGTTCTAGGAAGTGCGTACCATAGTTCTATTTTTTTATTCATTCTGATTTGGTAGATAATCAGTGAAAAAGCATGAGACATACAGGTATTCAGTTATGTTGCAGTTGAATGTCTCTTTGCTGTTCCTCTAGTCTCTTTTGTCTGAAATATTACCGCATTTGGTGCAGAAGTCTGCATAGTAGAGTCCCCAGACAGTGAGATGTTAAGGACACAGCATGTTTGTATAGAATGTCATCTGAAATGTTGCAGCAAAATGTGCAAAACGCTACATAGCATTTACATTCACAATGGGTGATATGGCACAATATCGTGGTGCAGGATGCACCCACAAGAGTTTTTTGGGAAAAGATCAAAATTAAACAAGGAGTTCTGGGAAGAAATACGAAGGGGGACCCAAAAGTAACCGGAAACGACCTGTTGCACGCGCATGCTTTGTAGTTACGAGTTGTGCTGCTAGGTAGTGTTAGCTGGGGGTCTTCCGCGACTGTTAGTGAGCTGGCATCAGTCTGAGTTAAGTGGTTTGTCTGTGGTGCTCTGTTGTGTGCGTTCCTGTTTCAACCCTTTGGCGATTAGTGAGATGGCCGACCAGAAGGAACAAAGAGTGTGCGTGAAATTTTGCTTTCTGTTAGGGAAAACTGCACTTCACTCTTCAAGTCGCGGCAAACATTCACGCGGTTTTCTCTTTGGTCATCTCCGAGCAAGCGAGGAACAAATTTTGCAGACACCCGTCTCATGTGCAAACCTTCGGTTAAAATTCGCTGGACCGTGCTCCATGAGATGTTCGTTTCCTCAGAAAGTTGGTCAGTGGTCTTTCGACGATCTTCATCAATTTCACGCACACTCTTTGTTCCTTCTGGTCGGCCATCTCACTAATCGCCAAAGGGTTGAAACAGGAACGCACACAACAGAGCACCACAGACAAACCACTTAACTCAGACTGACGCCAGCTCACTAACAGTCGCGGGAGACCCCCAGCTAACACCACCTAGCAGCACAACTCGTAACTACAAAGCATGCGCGCACAACAGGTCGTTTCCGGTTATTTTTGGGTCCCCCCCTCGTACTTGTCTACTTTCCCGTCACTACATATGGATTATTTGATACAACATGGACCACAAAGAAAACACTGAAACACTGCATGCATATTCATTGCCATGGGATCATGTTTACTGAGCCATTGCCTGGCAGTGACCATCCCTTCTCTGTCTCTTCTGGCTCCACTGTTCCAGCTTTCAGACATGGGGGTGGGGGTAAGCTTCCAGAAGGCATTAAATATACCAAATATTGATACCAAAAATTATTTTTTAAAAATTGTAGGGCAATCCATAAAAATATTCTTAAAGGCATTAAACAAGTTTATAAGCAAAATTTATGGCTCCTCGCCCTACTTAAGAAAATGGCAGCCCTGATGGCAGTCTATTCTTAATTAACAGCTGTAACTGTATCTTTTGACCAAGGACAACAGAAGCCCTGCCTTGTTTGCTTGTTTGTTTGTCCTAAAAATATATTGCAACAAAATGTTAGTTATTCAGATATGAATCGATGTGTGCTGTCAACAAACATAAATAATGGAAGTCTGTTGTGATGTGATGCCTAAAAGTTAGACTCTTGGAATCAGAGAAATCATCAGGGAAGGCAGAAAATGTACTTTTCACTCATATCAGAGAGGAATGAAATGTCTTGAGACTTCCATAGTCTCAACATTGTATGAAAATTTTACTATACCTTATTAATCTAGATTACAATTTGTGAACATCTCTGGCGTCTCAGATGTTCGTTGCTGCATTTTAGTACTTCTGATTCACTTTTATAGGCCAGCAAAAAGAAAGTGTACATGCTTTATAATTTGGAACCAGATCGATCAGTAACAGGGGGAGCCTGGTACTGTGATCAAGACTTTGAGGCTGAATTTGTGGATGTGCTGAATCAGCAGTGCTACAGATATTTGCAGCAAAAACTGGAGGCTACCAAAGACTGCAAAGGGGGTCCTATTGCTGCCCGAAACATTTCATATGCATCATCCAAGGACGTGTGGAAATATATAAGTGATCTTGGAATAAGTAAGGTAATTTTTTCAGGTGAATGTTTTATCTTATCAATATTATTGGATTTGTCCCTATATGATGGCTGAATTTGAGGGGTTGTTGTATTTATTTTGTAATTCCTTGTATTACTTTTCACTTTTTAGTGTAATTTATTGAATTACATAACTTTTTCATGTTTTATTCAGGACAGAAAATTTAGAATGGTATAAAGTTGGTAAGGTTAAACACGGTAACTGAAACCACGCTACTTATGAAGTAAGACAGACTGAGCTTATATGTTGTTCATTGCTGAATAAAACATAATACATTTGACTTGAAAGTTGAAAATAGATTAACCGCAATTTGTTATTAACAGGTCCAGTTATCAGTAGAAGATGTGGAAACAATTCTGGATACCCTTCTGTATGATGGCAAAGTTGAACGAACTGTAGCAACAGATGGTGACCATTTTTATCGAGCTGTAGAGTCTTTACTGCCAGCACCGGGCATTGTGCGCTTACCTTGTGGGGTTTGCCCTGTAAGTATATTGTCCAAAATTCGTTGCCATGGGAAAATGTTTCCCAGGCCTTTACCTACCAGTGGATGCCTGGCTCCATTGTTTCGGCTTTTAGGCAGTGTTTACCAAGCCGTTTCCTGGCAATGGATGGCTGGCTTCAACTCCTCTATAGCAGCTTTTAGGCATCATGTCACAATATAGATGCCATACACACGAACTTTAATTGACACTAGTAAAGAGTTTGGTCTAGAAGCAAACACAGAGAAAACTAAGTCAATGTTACTGTTTTGTCACCAGAATACAGGACAAAATCATGACAGAAAGATAGATAACAGATGTTTTGAAAATGTGGCATAGTTCAGATATTTGGGAAGAACTATAACAAATCAACACCTGCTTCCAGAGGAAATTAAGAGGGGATTGAATTCAGGTAATGCTTGCTACCATCCAGTCTAGAACCCTTTGTCTTCTCGTCTGCTATCTAAAAACATAAAGATCAGAATATACAAAACTATAATTTTGTCTGTGCTTCTGTGTGGGTGTGTAACTTGGTCTCTGACATTATTGAGGAGAATATTTGGGCTGAAGAGAGATGAAGTGAAGGGAGGTTGGAGAAAATAAAGTAATGAGGAGCTTCATACCTTGTATTCTTTGAAAAGTGTAATTAGAATGATCAAGTCAAGGGCAAGATGAGCAGAGCTTGTAGCACAAATAGGGGAGAAGAGGAATGCATGTAGGATATTGGTGCAAAAGCCAGATGGAAAGGGTCCACCGTGAAGACCAAGGTGTAGCTGGGTGGACAATATGAAAATAAATCTTAGAGAGATAGGATGGGATGGTATGGATTGGATTAATCTGGCTCAGGATAGGTACCAGTGGAGGGCTCTTGTGAACATGGTAATGAACCTTTTTGTTCCATAAAATGCTGGGAAGTTCTTGAGTAGCTGCACAATTGATGGCTTCTCAAGAAGGGCTCAGCTCCATGAGTGAGTGAGTGTTCAATCTCACAGTGGACTGCCAAGGGAAGAGTGGGCATAGTCAGATGGTGTCAACAGGTGTCTTGTCGCAGCACAGACTCTTGGACTGTGGGTGGAATCAGGCAGCCAGTAAATCCACATTGCTAAACCTGGACCCTCTCCCAGGCTAGCTGCTGATTCTTGTGTTTATTACTGGTCCTCCCTTCTTTAAGCATAGTGATGGTATGATACCATAAGTGACTTCGAGTGAATCCTGTATTCCTGTCAAAGTTGTTGGGGTGTAGCCAGATCATGATGGCCTCTTTCACTAAGCAGTCCATATAACCTATCATTCCAACCAGCAGTATAGTATCTTGAAATTTATCTAGCACTTTGTCTTAATGCTGTGCTCTGTTGCCACCAACTTAGCTATTACGTGTTACACATGTTTATTTAACCAATCTGTCAAATCACTCATTAGCTCTCACCCTTTCAATAAGCAAGCAGAGTGCATTGTTGTGTTTTCTGCAATAATGCATTGGTCTCTAATTGTGCTGTGTGAAGTGACTGTGTTATGGATTTTACAGTTGGTGTAAATGCTGTAGTGAAATATCCCTTGTTGCTTTTCATTTCAGGTTCTACAAAACTGTAGTGATGTTGGATCAGTAAATCCTAAGAAATGTGTTTACATGAAGGAATGGTTGGAGTAAAATACTATAATTTTAAGACAACAGAAATCCATAAATGAATGAACAAATTAAATATGTCTAATTGTGGTAAATTCCTACATTCACAGTATATCTCCTGTTTCATAAAAAGTAAATGCCATAATCTCAAAAAGGAAAATTTATACGAGAAATTAATATACGAGAGATAATCATAATGTTCAGCAACTAATTCTGTTATCAACAGATAAAGAGCAGAGTAGGCTTACTCAGCATTTCTGAATCAGAGAACCTGTAGATGCATTTTAATGATGCATTGCATAGTGAAAAGGCTAATGTGAAGGAGCAGCTTTTCTCTTCAAATTACATCTGAAATCGGAGAAGATTTCCACAGATATTTTGGAGTTGCAGAGGTGTCGTATGCTACACTGTCGGGCGACAGAGTGGATACTCGTACTTGTGGGTTGGTCTTGATGGAGTCGGTCAAGCGGCAAACCTTGTCCGTCGTATTGGTGGAGATAAAATGCTGGAAGATGCTTAATTCAAGAGAGTTTATTACACAGTAAATATGTACAACTGTAACAACAGCAAGTCTGCCTAAGGCTTTAGCAGTGGCCGACTCCTAACTGACAGAGTACCGTCCTATAGACTAAACTTCGTAATCAGATTAGAGAGCGTTCTGGATGGTTTGGGTCAGGGTTCTTATAGCCCTGCCTGTGGGGTGGGGGTTGTGTGAAAGCTATCTTGGAAGGTACAAAGTTCATCATATAGGAATGTTCTAGAACATTCTATTGTTATTCCATATGGTGGGTTTTCCTGGACCTTGGCTTGTTTTCTCGGACTTTAACTGATGTTTTCCAGTTTCTCTGTGAAGCAACATACTATTCTTATTTGCTTCCCTTAGTTCAAAATAAGTCTTGTTTACCCTCTGGCAGATAACATCGGTGAAAGTCGAGTTACAGTATGTGACAAACCAGTGCTGTTACGTTTTCATAATTACCAATAGATATTACATTCGAATTCAATAAAATGTTACTTATAAACCGTAACCATTGTAATTATTCTATCCACCATATACCTGTTACATTAATAATATCTAATGTATCACACCGTCATATACAACAGAGGAAACTCATAAATTAAGATGCTGAGTTCTCGTGCTGGTAAACATTGAGATGGATTTAATATTTGGAGATGGCAGGTTTATCTAAAATGCTGATACCAATTTGCCAGACTACATGGTATCGCATCACAGTACACCTTAATCTTAAAACTCCAAGCTTATTGCTTTTTGAAAAGAACAACAGAACACATCATCGCTTCAAACCCATCACCCTACCCACCAGTATCAACAGCACCGCATACCAGGACCCACTCCACTAACAGAAATATCTGATGCAAGCAATATACCCATAAGTGCATACATCTGTGATATAGAAATTGCAACATGGAAAACACCTTAATTTAATTGTATATTATGTTGACAACTAGTATTATGGTAGGAATGACACTGTAAAATTGGATCAAATTCCCAGTGAATTTTAATAGCATTACCATTTACGTAACTTTAAATTTTATTTGTAAACTGTGACCATCTGAAGATGATCTAAGGATTGAAACATGTCATGGTACTGTAATAATAAATAATTATTATTGTATTGTTACATGTTATACAAGTGATTTGTTGTGTTGATAATTATACACACATATAATACATAATATATTATTGAAAGAGGAGCCAGTATAGCAATGGCCTACAGGCTGGACAGCTGGGGTTTGATTCCCAGCATTGGCAAGAGATTTTTTTTTGTCTATTTCACAGTGTCCACACCATCTCTGGGGCCCACCCAACCTCCTATACAATGGATACCAGAGGCTCTTTTCCCAAGGGTGATTGTACCAGGGCATGAAGCTGACCACTCACCTCCATATAGTGTTAAGATCAAGAATAGTGGAGCTATACCTCCCCTCGCTGATTTGTCTTCATGGCATGGTGCATAATTAATTAAGCACAGAGACAACTTTACCTTTTTATATTATTGGCCGGTCATGGTAGCCGAGCAGTCTAAGGCATGTAGTGTCTTCGCTCACTAAGAAGCTGGGATCATGAGTTCAAATCCCACACAAGGCATGGATGTTTGGTGTGTGTATGCGTTTATTCTGTGTTTGTGTTGTCCTGTGTTTAGGTAGAGGCCTTGCAACAAGCTGATCACCCATCCAAGGAATCCTACCATCTGTAAAAATTATCAGTGAAACTGAGAAATCAGCCCCATACCCCAAAGTGGGAGCAAAAGAAAAAAAATTATATATTTTGTTTTAAACATTTGTTTGCTCCATTTGAAGATGGACATTGCACAGTGAGGAATTATTTTCTTTTATAAGATCTGTGAAGACTGAAATATGTTAGTTAATGTAATTATGGCAGAACTTTGCATTTCCTGCAGTAAATGGTTAAAAGAAAAGTGAAGGTATCCCTGTAACAGGCCGTGGAGGCCCATAGGTTTGTGAGATGTTGAGGTTCCCACATTTTCTAGACAGTCGGCTTGTAGATGGTGGTAAGGTTGTCAGCTGCTTTTACCCCCAAGAGTATTCTGAGAAATTCCTGGTACTCATTTCTCGAGGATTTTAACTTAAGATTGAAGAGAATTTGTTCTGTAGGTAGCAACAAGTGGACTGCAGAAATTTAAAATTTTTTGCTTTGCATTGTGTCAGTAAAAAAAGGAGCTGAGATTGGTCAGTTGTTATAGCAAGTAGTCTATGGTTTGAGTAAGGAATAGTGTTCAGACTGGCTCAAAGGTTGCACCCAGCCTCATATCTGCTAGAGTTAAGAATGCATGGAGTTATGCATCAACTCGCCTAAATGTCTTCATGGTGAGGTACTTACTTAAGCACAGGAAAAACTTTTCCTTATATTCTCAAGATGCACACCATTTACACAATTCCACCCATATCTTTTTCTGAGTTCTTGATGTCTCTTCATCCTGCTGGATGCACTGATGCTTCTTGTCATTGTCTTATAAGGCAAAGTGTTCAGAACTGTCATTGGCTTTCACAATAACATCTACAAGACAACACATGGAAAGGTATTGTGTAATACAAATAAATGATTTACAGGGCATGAAAGCTACAATTTCATTCTACACTTTCCTATATTATTATAATTAATTACTACTAATCATGGTGAAATGGCTAAGTATTCTGACAATGTAACAATTACACTGCATCAGCACTAGTAAAGACAACACTACGCGTCGAGGAGGAAACACAAACCAAGAGAAAGTGAGTACAAAAGTAAACAAACACAACATCATAATAATACTGATGATGATATCAATAATAATAATAATAATAACAAATAGAAAACAACATTAATATAGGAATTTATAAATTACAGATAACTAACGTGAGGAACAAGCTGCCAAGAAAAACATCTTATATTTAACAGAAATGACAACACCCTGAGTGAAGTAAAACAATAAGTAACAAAAGTATAAAAGAATTTTATCTCATTTTAATTAAGAAAAAGACCACAGCACGTGGTTTTTAAAATGAATTAGAATAATGAAACAGTGTAGCAGTTTCGACACAATCTTAATTGAATATCTGTAAAAAAAACCTGAAGTTGACCGTTTGAGGCCGAAACATGTAGTGTTAGAGAGTATTGAAGTGTAAAATAAAAAGTGTTGCAATTTGCACAGATTATAGACAAATGGACGTTATTTTGAATATTTATAAAAACAGTATATCTGTCAATAAATGTACCATGTATGCGTGAATTACCAGCAGTAATCAGAACTAAGTGAAGACTGTAACTGTTATTAAAACTCTGTTGAATTTAACACCTAAAATGATGAACAATGGTAAATTCTAACCGAATTTCCTTATTTTGAAAAAGTCTAGATCGTCTAGCTGTGTCCCCACCCCCATCATTGCTAACCAATGGCTTGGTAAACACGTTCCCGCAGCGACAAATACATGTGACAATACAACTGTTAGACACCATATTTTCTGTACAGTCAGTGTCTTATCAAATACTCAACATATAGTGAAAGGAAAGCAGGCAGTTAATTTTTCCCAGAACTGCTTGTTTATTATTGTACTTACATTCTTGCACAACAATAGTTCAGTCTTTCTCTGTGCCATACTCAAACCCTTTCAGCATTTCCGAAAGATTATTTTTATGCTATTGAGGTGAATTGCCAGACAGCCACTTCTGTGAATTTAATTACAGAGTCCCTAAAGCCGAAATGGTTACTAAGGTGAAAGATTCAAATTTGGGGCAGGATAGCACTCATATAACTGCCCCCGCAGTTGTTAAAGCCACTCGTCAGGTTTGCCACTTCTATAACTGCCCTATGGTTTCCACATATCTCCTACTGAAAGCCTATATTCCTTTTATTTACGGTGCATTGTTTACATAAGTCAGATTATAGGGCATAAAATGGCAGGACAATTAGTGAATTGGGAAGGTTGTGGAAGGCACTGGTCGTGGCTTAGTTTGAGCGGCTTGAAGGGGCTGAGGAATATCNACATAAGTCAGATTATAGGGCATAAAATGGCAGGACAATTAGTGAAGAATATAATTAGTAAAATTGTCCCTGTGCTTAAGTGGGTAAGTTTTATGCCATGAAGACATATGAGGAAGTGGAGGTATAGTTCCATTTTTGTTGATCTCAGCACTAGTTGGAGTTGAGTGGTCAGCTACACACCTAGACCGCTTTATCTCCGGGGAAAGTGTCCCTGGTACCCATTGGACAGGGAGTTGGGTGGGCCCCGGAATCGTTCTGGACCCTGCGGAAAAGAAAAATTTTGCACTCCCGAGAATCAAATCCGGCAATTCTAGCTCGTCACCCATCCCTATCCCGACTACCCTTTTACAATATCAGAATTTTGCTGGCCTTCAAGGAGTGACCGGAACCTGGGCCCTCTCGATTACGAAACAGGACCCATTCGACAGCGACAGTGGGTAGCATTGTACAGTCTTCACATCTTAAGTAGTCCAGCTAGCTTGTCTGTGGATTCTCACTTGAAGTATAAAACTTTTTGTTGTAGGCATTAAAATCCAATATGAGTAAAGACGCCGACACTGAACATGCGCAGCTGATAATTATGCAAATTAACTAATTTGCCACAGATGTCTTGCTGCTGTAGATCCTATAACAGCAAGGTTATTAACATTAAGCCTGTTAAGCTTATTTGTCTTGTGCTAAATATGTAGCAATGTTGGTCACAAGACGGAAACATAAACGCAAAACAGCAGGTTATAAGATTTTAAATTTTGTGCAGCCTCTAACAGAAATGATTACCAGGAATTAATTAAATAATTTTCCTGGGGAGTAAAGCGCGGCCGGTGCGTAAGGCTGACAACCTTACCGCCATCTTTAAGCCGATTGTCTAGATAATGTGGGACCCTCAACGTCTCACAACCCTATGGGCCTTCACGGCCTGCTACAGGGATAGCTTTACTTTTTTCTTTTACATACAGTAGCAATTAGGATATGCATGCAGACAGCGGTCCAAGGATTACAGACACAGAAACGTTACAGTAGGCTCCTTGCTGTAACGTTTCTGTGTCTGTAATACATGGACCACAACCGAATGCATTACGCGCGACACTTGGAAAGACAACCTTGCAACACGTCAGTACATTGCATGCACTTCAATGAACAATGGGACCTGTTGACTGCAGATGTTATCGTCGTATCAATGCCACATGACAGCTGGCACGTGTACTCACTACATATCTTTCTTTTATTGTTACGGCATCTGGACAAGTAAGTTTAAATCCATCGTGACAGTGAGTAAGATCGAAAAGTGAGATATAGCTCAGTGCTACAGATACGTTCTCACATAAAGAATACATTTGTCACTCAACAACACAACGGACAGGACACTGGTGTGGCCATACCTGCTGATTTATCTGTCGCTCTGCCGAATTTTCGATCAAGGATCAGTCTCCAAAAATAAATTGCGTGTCACACACAGCTGCATTCCTGAACGCATGTTCCTTTTTCCTCCAATTCAAATTTTATTCCTGAATTAAAGATGG